GACCCCGTCCCAGATATCAAGACTTCAAGGTAATCTAATTATTACGTTTTTCAAGCTAGGCCTTGAATAATTGAAAATTATCATAAAAGAATTTTTATTGTTTCTGTGTCATGTATGAATATGTATAAGATGGCGGGCTCAGGAGGTAAAAATGGTTAATTACATTATCGGAGGAAATGCATATTAATTGAATATACATGGAAGTATGCTATATTGGAATTTTGGGATTCGAACATTGTCAATTATGGATAAAAATGTATCTGAATTCTTAAAGTGATGCCTATTAATCCACGGTCATTTTTCAAACTTCATAATGAAAAGTTAATAATATTGTAAAGGAAAATAAATATAACTTTTCAGGAATGCAAATGAATTCACCTACAGCATGCATTTTCCGATTGAAAATTTTTCAACATTTATATTCATGTTAAAAAAATTATAGGTTTTTCCAGCATTTGAAGAAAACTGCACAGATTTTTATACTTGAGTTCTGCGGTACTTTAACTTCTTCTATTTACTGCACATTTATCATTATGCATAGTTAATAAAGCATTTGCTATGAATGCAAAACTTCATAAATCACTTATAAATTCATATCAAACTTTGAAAAATTGGTATAATTTAAGGCTAGATCGACGACATTTTATAAATATGTTCAAAGAACTTTCAATCACATTTTTAAGGTTCATAAATTCTCTGCTCACTCATATAAAATGTTGCTTGGACCTTAATGATTTTCCAAAAAGAAATGTATTTATAAGTAGAATACAAGCAATTGGATAAAAAAGACACTTCAACTTGCAAATCTATATAGGAATAATATAAAGTAACGTCATTCAGAGTTATCTCTCTTATTAGAGTATCAACGAACCTTAAGGTACATGAAATGCAATTTGTTGTATATAGAAAGTCAATTTCAAGCTTCCTTTTAAGACTTTCATGACTTTTTGAATAAAACATTAAATTAAAGAGTTGTCCTTCTCGGCTGAGGAGTTTTCTTTTCTTTTTACCATAAAGTCTTCAGATGAATTGAAAAAGCCTTCTACGTTGATTTTGATCAGTGAATCATACATATCAGCATTTGCAGTTGTGAAAGCAACCCCGTTAAAAAGCTATGAAGAATAAAATTATTTATATGAACTTATAATTTTAAGTGCACACAGAATTTCAGTTTCTTGTACAAGACTTTGACTTCCAGGTACATAAGAATAACTTTTACGATACGAAATAAATTTAAATACAATCATAAATCATACTCATCTCATCAAACACTATCATTAACCTTTTCTTATCATCTCTTGGTTATTATCTTGGTTATAAATGAACTGAACCACACCTACGAGAATGGAAATATTAGTCGTCTTTGGTTTTGACTAGAGGTGATTTGTCCGAACCTTGATTTTAAACGCAGCTTCCTTCAATGAGAGTTTTGCAAAACATCCAGTCCGTCTGTCCTGACTATAGATATCTGAAAAAAAACTTTGCTCCAAAAGTTTCAAAATCATATTGTGATTCGAAACTGCTTTATTATTCCCAAAACATTTTCTAAATGCTTAGAATCCAACAGAGCTTGTGCCTATAAAAAGCACCGTTACAATTTAGCCTCCTTTACAGAATAATCAAGTCAATGCTATATCAGTAGTTAAGCTATTAAAATATAAATACGTACGTACAGCAGTTTCGCTTTGTCAAATGCAAATTTCAATAATTATGTCTGCAAATACATCTCAAAACAAATTGCAGTATACTTTTGTATATCTTTTGAAGTTTATGTACTTGTATTTAAAACGAGTTTCCAGCTTCAATTAGATACTATAATTTTACAAATCTTGAAAAAGCAAGAAGGCAACTATATCTTCGGCCATGCCAAGTTCGTTGATAAGATACATATTGATTTTAAAGAGACTATGTGAATAATACACCCCCTCTTTGAATATATAAGGCCTCATTCTCCCGGACCGTACCAACATAATTAAGATATTCACAAATAATGAATAGCTTATGTGTCAGATATGTCAGTTCCCGCCATCTTCATAAAATACTTACAAATCCAAAATAAAAGGAATCAAGATACGTACAGGTCTTGTAAAGGTCTTTGACTGAATATACTACATTTCAAAAATAAAAACTTTGTCGAAAATTTGAAAACCTCAAAAAAAGACTTGTATGAACGATGTACATCATGTACCATTCCAGCTTCAAGCTACTTACAGAATTTGAAAGGGTTTTGCCTGCATCAAACTACATCTCAGACCATGCCAGCCTCGTAAAGCTGATAACTGAATTTTATATGTCCTTGTCTGTATCAAACTACAACTCAGACCATGCCAGCTTCTTCAAGCTACTTACAGAACTTGAAAAGGGCCTTGTCTGCATCATATTGCATCTTAAACCATGCCAGCTTCTTTAAGCTACTTACAGAACTTGAAAAGGGCCTTGTATGCATCATATTGCATCTTAGACCATGCCAGCTTCTTTAAGCTACTTACAGAACTTGAAAAGGGCCTTGTCTGCATCATTCTACATTTCAGACCATGCCAGCTTCTTCAAGCTACTTACAGAACTTGAAAAGGTCCTTGTCTGCATCATTCTACATTTCAGACCATGCCAGCTTCTTCAAGCTACTTACAGAACTTGAAAAGGTCCTTGTCTGCATCATACTACATCTCAGACCATGCCAACTTCTTCAAACTCATTACTGACTTTGGTATGGACTTGTCTGCATTACATCAATAGTAGCAGGTCTTGCAAAGATCATCAAGATATCAAATTTTGAGTCATATTTTCTTCATTATAGATAGAAAACACTAAATTAGGTCATGCCATATGCATAATGAAGGCTATCTTAAAAACTCTCTAAAACCAATACTCTTAAACATAATGATCTGAACCGAATCAGGCTTATTTATATTTATCAGCATCGGAATACATAATGTACAAATTATGGAGCATCAATAACATGCATTTATCCTATGTTCTTCATTTCTACGTTTTAAAACAACGTCTATTAATAGGAGCATAAAAACCACTGTGGCTAAACAAAAGTTTTATCGAATAAAAATTTTAACTGAAATAAAACGATGCTTCATCACTTTACGAGTTAATAGCAGGAACTATATATTCAATTACATTATTTCCAAGATTTGAAAACAACTTCAGAACAATGAACTATCTATCTGCAGTTCAATGCATCAATGTGTCACAGTGCAACGTAGAATTGTAAAAATTTTAGAGCTGTTCAAACCATATAATGAAATTCAAATACATTTAGTTTCCAAAATAGTGTGTCTCGTAACTATGAATTAGAAACATTGGAACTTTGTTCATAATTGCTACCAAATTCGAACCCATCATCATATAGATATAAAATTATATATACATGTGCCATGTATATATACGTGTATTAATTTACTACCATGACTTTACCAGAATTATACTCAATCTCAAGTTACATATGTATTTTTTGTTTTTACAGAGCTAAATTCAAGCTGAAAAGAGGACATTAATCTGTGTCCAAATGCTTACCAGATTTTCTGTTCTGTGCGTGCCTCTATCTGTTGTTAGAGTCGTAGTCGTAGCTTAGTAATAATGAAAGAAACAATACTGGTAAAAGATGAGACGTTGACAAACGTTTCAATCACTCAAGCTTTCAGAAATTATAATTTACTTAACAGAATGAATTTTGCTGCCTTAATTTCAAAAACACAGAGGGTGCTTATATGGTCCCCTTTACATTATCGTAAATAATCGAATAAACAGTGTTTAAAATTCAAAAGTTATTTTTCTATACAGTCGTTTCTTTCTTTAACTTTGAGAAAGTCGCAACCAAGAAATTACCAGTTTGTAGCTGCACATTCAAATTTCCCCCTACATGGGGTCCAACGTGTCAGAGATGTCCGGAACCTCGGCTCTGTTTGTTTGTGCATGATCTGCAACTGTTTCTGCATGACTTCATGAGTAGAGGATATGCTCGTCTAGTATAGACTGATTTCTATCTCCGATCTGAGCGAACATTTGTCTGTTGCAATGTAGCAGCGAACTTCGAATGACTTAAAACACCCGAAAATCTACCTTGTACATGACTGAATCATGCGTAGCACGGATTCAACCTATTCACCCGTAAAAAATGAACAACCAATCGATCTCCTTTATCGATGGACTTAATCTGCATACATAACAAATACACGTGTTTTACCATAACTTTTATAAATATATATATACATCGGTTTGAAATCCGACTTTTTGAAAAATGGCGGCTGCATTGGCACAGGCGGCGCTGTGGACTATGATAAAATGTTTTAATCCTGAATTCAATTTACAGAAATATACAAGTCATAACTGTTTGGTAGACAGGGACATGTTTGTCTGGTCTTTAGTATTTAAAATGACTGAAATGTTTCTCTTTGCATTGGCGTAGGACCGTTTTCTATTTTTTTGCAAAGATAGACATGTATAGTCATTGAAACTTGGGGCTTACCTTTTTTGTTGCTTTAGCCCCTCCCCCCCCCCTTTTCAATTAGACACCCTACTTTCAAACATGCTTACGACGCCTATGTCTATATATGTGAATAACGGAAACTTAAAAAAAGGACAGGCCAGAGAATTGGGCAAGAGTGACTGTGTAACTCCATTAGAGAAGTCATACGAAATGCTATTAGAAATATAGGGTTTTCAAATTATTATTATTTCATACCTGTATCTGCGTGTTGTTGTGGTATTCTTCATTAACAGAAAAGTGCAATTTTAGGGGTGTAATATATTATAAAAACATGCATTTAAGTATAGTCAATTTCACAGGTTCTTGAGGACACGAACCCCCATTTCGATATAGACCCCTGTATCTTTTCGAGATTTTTTTCTCATGAATTATCTTTCAATGACATATTTGTGATAAAGTCTATACCAACAAATCGAAAAATTATCGTAAACAAAAGCTTTATAAAATCTACCCTAGTCTCTATATAAAAATCCATCATGCTGATATATTTAAAGTGGGGTAGAATTTTTAATAAAATGTTTGTTTAATGAAATATTCCGAATATATGGAATATATTACTAGCTTATATCACAAATATGTCATCCATATATAATTTATGTGAAAAAAGTCGAAAAGGCCCGGGGGTCTACATCGGGGAGGGGAGTTCCTGTCCTTAAGCACCTGTTGTCAATTAAAAAAAACTTACAGTCATTTTTATGGGCGTTAACTTTGGGATCAGGTAAGGGTGAACATGCTTTCCGGGAATTATTTTGCCTACAAAACAAATATTCAGGAGTCTTGCTGCATTGCTCGTTGATTTCACATGACTCGTTTAATGACAAATCACCTGTAAGAAATTGATAGAAACTAAAATGAAATCTTCTAAATTAGTTTTCCTCGAATAACAGGTTATTTGGTTTATTACAATCGTTCTTTCACTATTAATATTTGTTCAATTGTTTTTGCAATCAAAAAGTCAGTTTTATGTAAATATGTAATATTATATATCATTTGTTTTAATTACCTTGAAAACAATTATTGAACCTCATGATGTAGCCGTCTTTACAATCACAGACTCCAGTGGTCTTATTACAGGTCGTATCGGGATTTCCCAGTGTACACTGTGTACTGTTTGTACAGTATTCACCAACTCTTCTTTCTTTATGCATAAAAATGTTACTAGTTCAACACTTGTGTCAACGTTTGCATAAAACAATTAAAACGGACTTGATTTTGTACCGGATGGAAAGTGAAGTATATAAAAAGAAATATTTTTTATCACTCGTCCGTTAAGGTTGTGCTTGGAAATGAGCTAATCAATATGATGTCTATGGTAATTATTTAAAACGTTTTAATTCATGATACAAGTGATAAAATCACTCACTCACAAGATTTTTTTTTTTTATGCATTTAACTGTGTTTGCAAAGTGAGCTAAATAACTTACACATGCATGCAAAGCATTTAGGTCATGGTATTATGTTTTACGTCTAATGTTGAAATATACACTCACCATTAAATATCTTCTCACCACAGGTTACAGTAATGTAAGCATCAGAGTTGCCAAATCTACTGCATGGTTTGAACATTGTGAAAGTGTAGGTTGTGGAGAAAATTATTTCCATTTTCTCAATTTCATACATGTACTGCCAATTATCCGTTATGGTATTACTAGATATCATAGAGCAATTGACAAAACAGGCTCTCTGGTTTTCTATCAAGTGAATTAAACATGCATTGAATAAAAACAATTTTAAAAAGTTATTGAAAAATTCAATATCTACATGAAACATTCTCTTTTTATTGTTCACTCTGATTTTTTCAAATCTTGTGATATGAATAGCCTATATTCAAGATTTAAAGTAATTAAAATGATTTTTAATGAAACATATTCTTTTTTGTATTACATGTCCAACATCATCAAAATAATGAACTTAACATACAAAAAGACTTAAAAAGAAATAAATACCCTTAAAAACTTCGGTAATACGAGTTTTATTGAAACTGCAGGCTTCCTCAGAATAATAAAATTTGAGAATGTCCCTAAGACAGACGGCCCTTTGCAAAAGCAAACATTCATGTAAGTTTAAAAATAACTTCAATATGAAAATAATATTTAAAAATTCAATGTATAGCTGAATTAAAAGCTTACCTTGCACTTTTAAATTGCGTTTGCAAAACACATGTTACATGAACAAGAAAAACTGTTAAAAAAGAAAATACGCACGATTTAATGAAACAGTGTTTATTCTATCGTTATATAATGTTCAAAAATCATAACTATCTAAAATAAATTTACAACTATTTAGATATATTGGTGTGTAGTTTATATTATATAGTATGGAATAAAACATCATATTTTATTAAGTATGTAGAAATAAATATAAAACGTAATTTTCACACTCACATCAAAAGTGTTATTTAAAATAATTCAAGCATGTATATTCATACAGTAAACTGCCAAATTGCCATTTAAATCCACGACATCTTAAAGTATATCAACAATATCAAAATAGTATAAGGAGCATTAAAATATTTACTTACTCATTGAACTCCAAAAGAAGGTCATATCTAGGGTGCGGAAACAAAATCTCGAGGCCTGGGTTTTTAATCAAAACATATTTAGAGATGAAGCAAAACAGAAATTTTAAGTCAACTTTTTTTTGTTAGATTATACACTTCTTTTTTAATTGGAAATCTGTCATTGACAAGGAAGTTCAAGCATTCTTTAACTTCCTTCTTCTTCATCTATAAATAAAAATTTTTAAGTTTAATAAGTACGTGCATTTACCATCAACATCAAGTACACAGGAAATGTTATCCCCTTTCAAAATTGTCTTCGTTCAAGGATTGTTACAAACTTTATAAAATGGTACTTATAATTCTTTTAAGGAGGATTGCTTGAACACGCAACATTTTTGAATGAAGTGAAGTATTTGTATAGTAATTATTTTTAAGTCAAATAATACGCATTCATACTCGTATATTGATACATTTCTATATATTGATATATAAATTTATTTATAAAGCAGTACTACAGTATCTATAGGATGATATTTAAAACTTAGACAACTCCATTAAAGTTTTCAGATTAAAAATGTATTCATGAACTAATACAAATGAGGAAAAGAGCAAACATCCAAATATGGACCTGAAAAGAATCAGAGTCACAAAAAATAATTTTGAAAATTCCATCTGAAGTGTATTAAATTAATGAAAGTCATAGTATGGGCCATAGAATTTTCAAAATTATATCTTGAAACAAGCTTTTGATATATTTGTTTCATCTACAACTTGTACAAGACAGCTCATCATGATACAAAAATCTTCACCATAACAGCTTTTATACAACACGACACACCATGTCTTTATAAACGAAAACACAAAAACAACAAACTATGATTCCATACAAGACAACACAATACATCATGTCTTTATAATCGAAAACAAAACAACAAACTATGATTTCATACAAGACAACAAAATACATCATTTCATTATAAACGTAAACAAAGAAAACTATGAATTCATTCAAGACAATACAGCACGCCATTTCTTATATAAACGAAAACGGAAAAAAAACAAACAAACAAACTATGAATTCATACATGAAAACAAAACACATCATGTCTTTATAAACGAAAACACAAAAACAAAAAACTATGAATTCATATGAGACAACACAACACATTCTGTCTTTATAAACGGAAACACAAAAAACAACGAACTATGAATTCATACTCCTCCATGGCACCTGATCCCACGTCTGATGTTTTGGAGGTTCGTGTTTGTGTTGCTCCTATTTTGTATTGTTTTATGGAATTTGAGATTGAATACTGTTCGTTATCTCCATATTCTTCTATACAAGACAACACAACATACCATGTCTTTATAAACGAAAACACAAAAACAAAAAACTATGAATTCATATAAGACAACACAACACACCATAATTTTATAAACGAAAAAAAAGAACAACAAACTAGTGCATATAGGCAACACCCATCAGCCACGCAATTCTAAATTTTTAGGTTTATTTTCTTTATATTATTTATTCATTGAAGGTCATATTTGTATACATTGACGTCACATTGTAAGTGACGAGTAAACAGTTCTTTTGCGGTTTGATACTTTCCATTTTGTTGACGAGATCTTTAGTATCTTTGATATACGTTTTCTGAGATTGAACAATAGGTAGTAGGAAATAATCAACGTAATGACTTATTCTTTCCGTTGGTGACCCTATTTGTGATGTGATGGGTCCACAGTTTGGAAATGTATTGTCATTTTCCCTCATTTTATGTACTTTAGGCAATAAATAGAGTCGCCCTGGTCGTACATTCTGTTCGTTTGTTTTTAGTCGGATACGAGAATGTTTGTGTAATTTTCTTTTTTGAAACATTTCATTTAGTTTGTTCTGTATAAATTTGTAGATAGTAGACGAATCAGGTTTTTCAATTTCAATATAATACTGTGTTGATAATTGGCGCAGACCCTCTTCAATGAATTGTTGTTTATTCATTATAACAACAGTGTTACATTTGTCTGCTTTTTGATAACAATGTCTTTATTGTTCAGTAGGTCATAAAGTGCCCTCCGTTCTGAAGGTGATATGTTAGAAACATTTGATTTGATCTGAATTGATGACACCTCTAATTGTGTAAGATCTATATAGTTTTCGAGTGCTTGGCATGTATAGCTAGGTTTATAACCTGTATTTTCTTGAAAGGGATCTAAACGTTCATTTTCATTCGTGCTAAAATGATATTTGCATTTCAGTTTTCTTGTAAATTCTAGAAAATCTTTTATGACTTTGTTTTTGATGTTTTTGTATTAGGAGTCGGGATATATTTTAATCCCTTTGATAATAATAATGTTTCATTCTCTGTAAATGAATGATTTGAGAGGTTAAGTATACGTAGCTTTGAGCTTTACTTATTTTGGCCAATACTTGGCGCTTTTTTCGAGAGGAAGAATTTCCCGCTCTTTTTTCTTATTTTGCTAAATTGGCGAGCTTATTAAAGAGTCGAGCCATGTTGCGTACAACAGAATGAATGACTGATTGAATCAAATGCGATTTATAAGTGCATAAAGGCAACACCCATCAGCAACGCAATTCTAAATTTATAGGACCCGACACAGTGCTGAGATTTTTCTTATTCCTCTTTGATTTTGACATCGTTTTGAATAAGTTATTACTTATTGACATTATTGTTTTTTCAGCAGTGTGTTTCAGCGGTTTATATTGTATTGGTGTATTAAAAATCTAAATCACGGCCCCGCGTTCATCAGGGATCCTGCCTTAATTTCTATTGGTTGTTATTTTAATCTGGACTTTGTTAAAGTTAAATATGCTGGAAATCTAATAAATGAGTTCTTATCATGTGATACCTAAATATAACAAAATAAAGTCTGTAGGCTTTTGTATGCTTCTGAAAATTGTGCAAGTTGACAGAAGGAAGACCTTTCAGTAAAAAAAAATGAAGAAAAAAACTTTCAGTAATTTTTCAGTGAGCATTTAATTACTGAATGGCAGAAACATTTTAATGACCGTTAAGTTACCTTTAAGTCACAGCTGAGTCACATTTCTGTGGGCATTGTTACAACGCACTTTGAAATAGATTTTCAAAGTGCGTTAAATTTGGGACCAAATTCACGCACTTTGAAAAAATAAAATTTCTTTTCAAAGTGCGTTAATATCCACCATATTAACGCACTTTGAAAAAATATGTATATGGCTTGGTCAATATTCTTGCAAATCTTACGTATGATGAATAACTGAACCTGTTTGATAACTCTTCCGTAATGAGGTAACTTTAGGATGTGAAAGTGAGCGATTTTGATTTCTCTAAGCTTTGAAAATTCTTTTCTCTCTTTAATGTTTTACTGTAATTATTTTTTTCCAGTTTGCATGTATTTTATGTAAACTAATATTTATTGAAAGTTTTCAACGTCATACCAGTTATGCAAATACATGTACATATATGTGGGTGTAACATAGGCATCGGTAGAAGGGGGAGGGGCTTAGGCACACAAATGTTTTGCAAAGATATACATATTATAGGCATTGAAAATTTGGCTTACCTTGGGGTGGGGGTGGGGTTGGGGTCCGCTTTCAATTTGCTACCGACGGCTATAAACAAGGTATGTGGCAACGCACATTGAAAAAATTACGCACTTCGAATTTTTTTTTAAAGTGCGTTAAGATTGGGACAAAATCAACACACTTTGAATAAATTTTTCAAAGTGCGTTAAATTTGGGACACATTCAACGCACTTTTAAAAAATTTTTCAAAGTGCGTTAAGAGTGTACATCAACATTTTGTACTATGGGGATATTTAACGCACTGTGAAAAAATATGTATAAAAACAATTTACACTTAGATCGAAGTAATTGAAAGAATCAATTTGTATTAATTGATCTTTTAAAAGAAAACCTTTTTAATTTTCATGTATTGATTTACCCTAATTGAGAACAAGGTGAAGACAAGTTGAAGGACTATACTCTCAGCCTAATTCTTTTTATCTTATACACTGTACATAGCTGTCGGTAGGAAATTGAAAGTGGAACCCAATTTTCAATGCCTATAACATGTATTTGTATATCTTTAAATGCAAAACATGCATTTGTGTGCGTAACCCCCCATCCCTCCCCCCGCCTTATACAACACCCAAATATATGTATTATTTTGCATAACTACTATGACGTTGAAAACTTTCAATAAATTTTAGTAGACAAAAAATGTATGCGAACTGAAAAATTTAAGTACAGAAAAACATTTAAGAGAGAAATAATTTTCAAAGTGCGTTAATATGGTCGATATTAAGGCAGGTCCACACTTTTACGGATCCGGATTTAATTTTACACACCAATATAAAATTTTGATTATCCTTGTCTATTGAAATAAAATCTTTTTTGATGATTGAAAATAATGTAGCAAGTATATATTTGTTTATTATAGTGTCATTGTGCACACAAAGCATTTAATGTACATTATTTATAGGAAAAACCACTTTGCACTCTGTCCATAGGATCTATATGTAATTTAGTACATACACAGACAGAGAATTCTTAATTTCCTTTATGGACCTAAAGCTTTTTAATTTTTTTTTAACAAACTAACTTGAGATCTATTTATCTTTAATTTTTAGCCTATATCATCTTTTTAAATTTACTTTTTTATAAGTTTTGCGAAGAATGATTGAAAAAATGGATATTCCAAAAATGGGGGTATAGGTCTTCAAAAGGCTGTTTTGTAAAATTTTTCTGGTCAACCATAATAAAGTATGTTTTTTTGCTAACCTTAGATATAATTCTAAATAACTGTAAAGAAAAAATAGCATATAAACATATACGATTTTGAGGAATATTTAAAATAAAGATATTTTGAGCTTTTTCTCCGAAAGATTTTGACAGAATCAACATAAATTTTTTAGTGTTTTCAAAAAGAAATTTCAAATATTTTCTTGACAAATGAATATTTATGATTTTCCTAATTGGATGTGATTTGGTACATAGCTAAATCAAATATGATATTATACTTCTATATGTTGAATTTTGGCTGTTGAATTTTTAGAGGTATATACGCCGAGACATGTTGCATGAAAAGTAACCTGCAAAGATATGTTTTTGTGGGTGTTTTAGTTAGATTATGACTCATTT